TTGGAATCCTCTTTTCTGAGCCGTTTGTAGTACTGGGATTACAAGTACGCCACCACATCCACCTTTTTATTCCCTTATATCTTCCTTCTGTCCTTTTTTGCCCCCAGCGCTTCTGCATGTTAGGCAAGCACTCTACAAATTAGCTACACCTCCAGTAATTTGTTTTCTAAAAGATTTTTTTAGTATATGACAGCATTTATTGTGGGGAGCTGGTAAGTGTATATGACACAATTTAATTTATTTTTATTTATTTAGCTTCATTTTCCCTTGTCTACCCACTCCCAGTTCTTTTATAAAGTTTTATTTTGAGCCAGGCATAATGGCCATGCCTGTAATCCTAGCACTCTGGAGACTGAGAGGGAGGATTGCCATGAGTTTGAGGCCAGACTGTGCTTTATAGCAAGACTGGCTCAATAAACCAAAAAGAAAAAAGTTCTAATTTTTTAATTTTAAGGCAGGATCTCACTAATTTGCCCAGGCTGGCGTTGAACTGTCAAACCTCCTGCCTCATCTTCTTAAGTAGTAGAGTTTACAGACCTAGTATCTGTGTTTTGGTTTTTGTTTTGTTTTGGTACGGGGATTGAACTCTCGACCTTGGGCTTGGCAGGCAGACAGAGCTAAATCCCCAGCCCGACCTAGTATTTGTTTTGTTTTGTTTTTTCTTTTTCCTTTTTATCGGTACCGGGGATCGAACTCATGACTGCCTCCTTTCAAGGCAGGCGCTTATGCCACTGAGCTAAACCCCCAGCCCCTGACCTAGTATTTGTTAAATACTAGAATTTTTGTTAAATTTGAAAGTCCTAGGATTTCCTGTTGTCTTTTTTTTCCCCCCTGGACAGGGTCTCAAGTTTAGCCTGGCCTTGAGCTCACTTTGTTTTTTTGGGTTTTTTTTACTGGTACCAGGAATGGAACTCATGACCACGTGCTTGCAAGGCAGGCGCTTATGCCGCTAAGCTAAATCCCCAGCCCCTTGAGCTCACTTTGTAGCCCAGAGTGGCCTCAAACTCAAAACGATCCCCCCAAGTGCTGGAATTACAGGCGTGTGGCACCATGCCCGTCTAAAAATGTTTTTTTTGTTTTATTTTGTTTTGTTTTTTGTCTTTTTGAGACAGGGTCTCGCTATGCAGTTCAGGCTGGCCTTGAACTCACTTTGTAGCCCAGGCTGGTCTTGAGCTCGCAACAATACTCCTGCCTTAGCCTCCCAAGTGCTAGGATTACAGGTGTGAGCCCTCACGCCCCGCTTAAAAATATTTTTTTTTTCTTTTTAGCAATGTAATATTTCCAGAGTTTTGTTAAAGGGTTTCCTTTCCTAGATTCATTTAATTTCTCATAACTGAATTCTGTTCATATGGGTTTTTTTTTTTGGTCTTTTGCAGACAGGTGTTGCTATGCGGTTCAGGCTGGCCTTGAACTTACTTTGTAGCCCAGGCTGGTCTTGAATTTGCAATGATTCTCCTGTTTCAGCCTCTTCAGTGCTGGGATTACAGGCATATGCCACCATGCCTGGCTTGTTTTATCATTTTATAGAAGTGAGAAATGGAGATTTGTGATTTTTTTTTTTTAATTTATTGCCTTCACCCTATTTTCAGTATATTTACACTCAAGGGAAGGCGTCTCCTTATTTTTAATACTAGTTTGTAGCATAAAAAGTTGTTTTAATATAGAGTGTGGTGGCATATATTTATAACCCTACTGTTTTGGAGGCCGAGGAGCGCTGCAAGTTCAAATCTAAACTATGTAATGAGACCCTGTCTTGACAAGACAAAACCCAAAGGTATCGGTAAAACTGATGTGCAAAAGTGTTGATGTATGGGTCAAGGCTTTCTTGCTGTGTACATGGTGGTTTTATGTTTACTGTGTGCATAGTGAACCTAGTAAAACTAGTTTCTTTAAACAAGTATACATGTCTATGATAAAGTAGCTCAGAACCCCTTGGAGTCAGTTGTGTTGCATGCCTGTAATCTCCACTAGTGTACTTAGCATACTGGAGAGTTCAAGGCTAGCTCACCCAGTTTAATAAGACTGTCTCAAAATAAAGAGCTGGATATGGTGACTCATGTCTGTAAACCCAACATTCTTTGAGAGGCTGAGCAAATAGAATTGACTTTTTTTTTTTGTACCAGGGATTGAACTCAAGACTTCTGGGGCTGGGGATTTAGCTCAGCGGCATAAGCACCTGCCTTGCAAGCAGACGGTCGTGAGTTCGATCCCTGGTACCGATAAAAATGAAAAAAGACCAAAAAAAAAAAAGACTTCTCGCTTGCTAGGCATGTGCTTACACAGCGCTGAGCTAAATCCCTGGTTCTTGAACAAACAGAAATGAAAGATTGAGCCCACTGCATAATGAATTAGGATGATCCAGCCTCAGAATAGAAGTGGAGGTGCTGGAAACATAGCTCAGTGCAAGGTTGCAATGCTCAATTCCCAGCACTGCAAAATAAATATCACTCCTTTTCTATATCCCCACCATTGATGCATAGCTGTAAATGTGCTGTATATAAACTAAAGCACAGTGTAATCATTTAAGCTGTTTGCTTGGTTTTTAAATTGTTTTTAGCCTAGTAACATTTTTAAAAAATTTTTGAACCGAGAAAAGAAAAATGATGAAACAATTTCAAAACAAAATAACAAAATAAGAGAGTAACAGTGGTTAATATATTGCATATTATTATCTTCAAAGTGGTTGCTCAGTTTTTTTTTTTTTTAAGTAGTGTTGCTTTGTAGTCTAGGCTGGCCTTGAACTCTCACTATATAACCCAGGCTGATCTCAAACTGGCAATCCTCCTGCCTCCGCCTCCTAAGTGCAAGAACTGCAGATGTGTGCCACCACGCCCAGCTAGTTTAATACTATCCTTAGGAATATTTATGACAAAAAAAAAAGGAATATTTATTTCTGCACATGTAAATATACGTAATTGCATGGTGTTTAAAAATGTATGTTTTGTTTTTTTGGTTTCAGTTTCTGATCTTTAGTTAAATAAATCTTATGGATACTCCAAGGAACGTGCAGTAGAATCTTTCCTTGTGAACATAATGATTCCAGAAATATTTTTATAATCCAAAGCACTCGCATAGCAAAGCAAATCTCCCCACGAGAAATAATGAAAATTCAGGTGATTTCTCCCATAACACAAAAATATTTATATAAAAGTGATTATAGTACTATAATACAGGATAGCAAAATAAATACAAAATACAAAAAAATAACCTTTGTGAGACTTGCCATGGTGCCATACACATGTAATCCAACTGCTTGGGAAGATGAGGCCGGAGGATAAGTGAATTCAAGGCTAGCCTGGAGTATATGGAGAGACCCTATCTCAAAAAAAAAAGAAAAGCCCACCAAAAGAAGCTTTCATAGCTGGTGTGAGGGAGACAACAAGAGGGTTGTTGTATAGAATGACTCTCACTATTACTAATGCACTAATGCGGTTGTGAATATCTGTTGGCTCACTGGGATCTTTTTCCTTGCATTCATTCATTCGGTCAGTCAGTCAAAACAGGGTCTTGCATGTAGTTCCTAGTGGTCTTGAACTTTCTATGTAGCCTAAGTTGGCCTCGAACTCAAACTAATCCTCCTGCCTCACCCTCCTGAGTCCTGTGATTATGTGTGTCACCAGTTCTGACTCCTGCAATTTTAGCAAAGGAATCTGTTCATGACTCCTTTTGAGGATTTTGTGGGAATACGACATTGTATTGTTGTTAAAACGATTCATCCTTTACACTGCCCTAGTCTTTATCTGGGTGTTGTTTTTCTTTTCTCTTCTCTTCTCTTATCGGTACTGGGGACCGAACTCACAACCGAGTGCTTACAAAGCAGGCGCTTATGCTGCTGAGCTAAATCCCCAGCCCTTGGGTGGTGTTCTACAAAATTTGCTGTTTCCCACCTTTTTTTTTTTTTTTTTTTTTTTTTTTTTTTTTTTTTTTTTGGTACTGGTGATCAAATTTACAACCTTGCATTTGCCAGGCAGATGCTTATGCCACTGAACTAAATCCCTGGCCCAGTTTCTAAAGCATTTTACATGTCTCCCTAATCTCATTTGAAGTAAGGGAACCCTCTTCATTTTCTCCTCTATAACCTCCTTTTTTTAAAATCGTAAGTTGAACTCAGGACTTCAAATTTGCCAGGCAGGCACCATCCTGCTGAGCTATATCCCTGACCCCTTCTCCAGTAACGTCTTGCTGATGATGAGTCACCTGTTGCCCTGCATTGAAGGAGAAGGGAGGAGGGTGGGGATCATTGATTTATTTGTGATCTTGTGACATTTGATATCAATATTATGTGCTACTTATATTGCAAGACATCATTTGTTTATCAAGTTAGAATTTACTAAAGAAATTTGCTCATCTTGCAGAGCAAATGAACTTGCAATCCAAGTTTGACTGTTTAGCTTTTTTTTTTATTTATTTATTTTTTCTTTTCTTTTTGTCTTTTTGAGATGAAGTCTCACTATGCAGGTCAGGCTGGCCTCAACCTCACTTTTAGCCAGACTGGTCTCAAACTTGCAACGATCCTTCTGCCTCAGCCTGAGATTACAGGAGTGTACACTACACCCAGTTTAGCTAGCTTGCTTACTTGCTTGCTTGCTTGCTTTGCTTGCCTTCCTTCCTTCCTTCCTTCCTGTATCGGGGATCAAACTCATGACCTTGGTCATGCTTGCCAGGCAGGCGCTTATGCCACTGAGCCCAGCCCCAGTTTAGCTTTAATTGAAGAACAAGCTGGGCTTGGGGACCTATCATTGTTGCATTCTGCAAACCTGAGGCAGAAGGATCATAGAGTTGAGCTCGTCTCAGGCACCGTCAGTGCTTTAGCAAGGCTGTGTGTTGAAATATAAAATAAAGGGCTGGGGAAGTAGCTCACTGTGAAGGCACGAGAAAAATAATAGAATCTTGAGTTGAATGTAACTTGTGTGTGTTTTTAAAAATTTTTAAATCTGAAAATTTATACCTTTAAAGAACTCAGTAATCTAAAATTTGTCTTTTTTTTTTTTTAACCCTAGTTGGAAATGGAGGATGAAGATACAATTGATGTGTTCCAGCAACAGACAGGAGGTGTCTACTAAAAAGGGAACCTGCAACAACTCTACTCCAGAACTCTGTTCTTACAGACCAAGAATACATTCTCAGTTAGAAAACTGCAATTTGGTTCCACCACATCCTGACTACTACAGTATAGTTTTATCTATTCTTTCATTTATCCCTTCCCCATTCCTTTATTGTACATAAAGTATCTGGTGTATGTGCACAAGCATATTGCATTTTTTTTTTTTTACTAAATGGCCAACAATATGTTTTGATTGACATCAAATGGAGATGGGATGGGGAATTACTGGTTCTGTGAAAAATAATCCCCTTTCTCCATTAGTGGCATGCTCATCAGCTCTTATCTTTATATTCCAGTAAGTTATTTTGCTCTCACTGTTTTAACGGAAAAGACAACATAAAAATCCTTGCATACCTTGTTTGATTGGAGAATTTTAATGTTTTTCATTTATCATTGTAAAACCAAGGAGAATTTTATAACTTTTTTGTACGTAGCTGTTACATGTAGGGCAGTCTGTCTTTACGTAGGAGTAAATTACTCTCAAAAAAAAAAAAAAGAATCCTAGATAGTCTTCCCTTAAAGTCAAGTGTCTTGTTGTTTAAGTAAACTTCTTGTTTTAAAATGAGCTGTTTTCTTTATTCTGAGGAATATTAAATTGAAAGTTAAAGCTTAGAAGAAACATGATTTTAAAGTAATACCAGGGAAAATGTGAAACCAGTATGCTTTTTTGTTGTTGTTGAGACAAGGTCTCAGTAATGCAGGCTGGCCTCAAACTCGGGCAGTTGTCCTGTCTCAGCCTCTTGAGTACTGTTATTATAGGCATGTGCCACCATGCTTGGCATATATTTCTAACAGACCATGCAAAAACAAAAATAATGGCTATGTAGGATGGCTAGCATTCAAAGTGCCAACCTCATCATCAGGTTTTTTTCTTTCTTTTTTTTTTTTTTTATTAAAAGTACCGGGGATTGATGACCCCCATACAGTATTATAGTTCAGACTGGCTTTGAAATGTGTAACCCAGGCAGCCATTGTACCTCAGCTTCCAAGAGCTGGGTTTAGATGTGTGTGCTATTGCATGCATGTGTGCATTTTGAGATAGCTGTGTATGTCAGCCTGGCTTCAAATTTGGAATTTTGCCTCATTCTCCTGATTGCTAAGATTACTGGGCATTGAGCCCATGTTAGACAAGTAGTCTTACTGCTAAGCTATATTTGCATCTGTTAGGTTTTGTTTTTTCAGGTTTTTGTTGTTTCGATGCAAGGTCTCACTATGTGAGAATTGAATTCACAGTGATTCTCCTGCTTTATCCTCCCAAGTACTTAGGGCTATAGATATGAACCACCATGCCAGGCTTTAGTTTAGTTTTGCAGTTCTGGGGATTGAACCTAGGACCTTGACACTAAACTATATCCTTAGCCCTTTTTTAAATTTTTTGTTTGGAAACAAAAGGTCTTGCTTAATTGCCCAGGACAGGCTAGCAGTTGTAATCCTCCTACTTCAGCCTCTTAAAACTGTTGGGATTATAGGAATCCTCTAACATGATGGACTAGAGAGTCCTTCTACCCACCCAATATTGGGGATTGAAGCTAGGCCTTTTGACAAAGTTACCTATGTAGCTCTTTTTAAATTTTGAGTCAGGGGCTCTAAATTTACTTTGCCCAGGCTGGATTCAGACTGGCAATCCTTGTCCCTCAGCTGCCCAGAGGACTAAAATTGCAGACACCTTGCCCAGCTCAAATTTTTTTTGTCTTCTGGGTTTCTTGCAGTTTTGAGATGATGGGGTCTCACTGTGTAGCCCATGCTGACAGAGTTTTGGGATTACAGGTGTGTGCCACCAAGTCTAGCTCCTTTTTTTTTTTCTAGCTTAGAATTGAGCTCAAACATGCTTTGTGCAAAGCTGCTTGAGGGTGAAACAAAAGTAACTTCTCAAAAATAGCACAGTTTTGGGGCAGGGGATTTAACTCATGGCATAAGTGCCTGCCTGGCAAGCGTGAGGTGAACTCAATCCCCAGTACCAAAAGAAAAAACGAGTTTGCTTAATGTAGTGGCATACATATGTAATCACCGCACTGAGGAAGGAGGATCACTGTAGAGTTTCAGGCCAGCCTAGGCTACATAGATGAGACCCTGTCTGAAAAACATAGTATGGTTCTCTTAGTTGGCTTTCTCTATTGCTCATATTTTCATGGGAATTTGATGGTCATACTGCATTCTGTCTAAAGCGATTAAAGGAGTGAACCCACCTTAGAGAAGTGAAAAAGTGTGTGATCATGTGGGAGATTGTTCTCAGGGGAGGCCACTTAGTATTTGAGGATGGCTTGTTGGAAAGTTTTTTCCAAGGTCTCTGTGGGGGACCTTGGTGTTTTGGAGAGGGCCACTTGTACTGCTGAGGGTTATTTTTATTAGGATGCTGCTGCTTTTAAGTATGGCTCACTGATTATCATGATTTTGTGTGAGAATCCCCTGGCAAGCTTTTAAAAATACAAGGGCCTCAGCCTTATCCCCTACCCCCAGCATCAAATGTATTTTCAAAACAAGAAATTCAGAGGCATCTTTGTTACCTGAATTAAGCACTTTGCAGGCAAGAATTAAGTGAGATAATGCATGTTTTAGGGGCCCAGCATAAGATAAGGAAAAAAAGAAAAAGAAATAAAAAGCGTACAAGTTATACAGAATTTCAGAAAAAATAAACAGGAAATCACTAGTTAATAGATTACATATTGTCATCTTAGAAATGGTTGTTCAGGTTACAAAATTAAAGCATATGAAGTGGACATTCAAGCAGTGAGACTGCAAACAGTTCTGTTCAATGATCCAACAAAACTCAGTAATATGGTTATCTATCTTATACACTTAAATATACATGCAGTTATGTCCTTGAGAGCACTTTCTTTTCCTCTCTTTTGTACAATGACAATTACACATTTTATTATTCCCACAGTAATAAAATTACAATTTTATTACTCCCACAGTTACTACTTTTTTTTTTAAAGAGTAAAAAATGTGACAGAACAGAGTCAGTCAAATCAAAAGGGTGGACATAATACATAATGTGAAAACAGAATACAAGGTGATCAACAATGGTTACCATAATGCCTCTTGCTATCTTAAAAAGAATTGCTTATATCATCAGTTATAATAAAATTGAACAAAACAGTAAAGAACAAAACCAATAAAACCAAAACATTGGAGACTAAATTACAGGTCTTCAAAAGAAGATAATGGTCAACCAGAATGGGAGTCAATGAATCTTACTGTCTTCACAGTTGTTGCCTATACTTTCGAACTTGGTACTATCAAGCAAAACAGCACAGAGGAAAATCAGTCAAAACAAAATGGTGAGAGCAATACAGGGTTTCAAATCAAGTTAATAGGAAATCAAAGTGGGTTTCTATAATATATCCTGCTATTTTTTAATTTATTTTTCCCTTAATTAAAAGGATAAAAATAAAAAAGTAAACAATAAAAAAAGGAGATTGAGATAAAAGAGGGCATAACAACAAAACAGCACAGGTCAAAACATAGCCATTTAAGCAAAATAGTGTTTCACCACAAGAAAATCCCGACATAAAAGTAGTTACCATAGTGTCTCTTTCCTTGAAATCTTTGGGTATAACTTTGTATACTGTAGCATCAAACATATCAAGACAATGTAAAACCGTTCAAGGGAATGACAGTATTACAGGGTATTTAGAATCAACAGAAAATGAACAATGGTTTCTGTATAATCTCCTTGTCTATAAAAGTTTTTGTTTATATTATCACATATACTAAAATCCAATAATATACAACATGTTAAGACCAATGGAGACAGAAGAACAAAAGCTTGGTGGGACTTAACAAGATGATACTAAATCAGCACTAGCTATTATGATGTCTTGTTTTCTCCAAAATAGCTGTTCCTACCATCTAACCTCTGCCTCATTTCTGTTGAGTACTTTTTCTGTCATTAGTTGTCGGTTTTTCTTTTTCATTTCGCTTTCTGCTCCATTCATTGTGGCCTCTCTGTCACTGTTTCTGGAACCTTGGTAGTTTTCTTTTTTAGAATACCCTGCAGTATTCTCTGTAGAGTTGAACTGGTGGTTGCAAATTCCCCTAGTTCCTCTTTATCCTGGAAGCACCTTGTTTTTCCATCAATATCTAGGGACAGTTGTGCAGGATATATCAATCTTGGCTGGAGGTTATTATCTTTCAAAGCTTGAATTATTTACGCCGATCCTCTTTGTGATTTGATGGTGTGTGCCGAAAAGTCTGCTGTAATTCTGATGGGTGTTCCCTTGTAAGTGATCTGTTTCTTGTCTCTGAAGGCTTTTAATATTCTGTTCTTATATTTCTGGAATTTTGATTATTATATGCCTGGGTGTAGCTCTGTTTGGGTTGTAAGTGGCTGGAGTCCTGTATGCCTTATACATCTGAGTATCTTTACCTTTTGCTAAATTAGGGGAATTCTCCTGGATTGTTTCCGTGAATAGCTTTTGTAGTTCATTTGTTTGTGACCCTGCTTCTTCTTTTACATTTTTAATTCTTAAGTTAATAGATCCTCTCATCATCTTCTAGCCTTTGTATTATTGCTGTTTGTTTTCTTGTTATTGTTAAGAAGTTTTTCATTTCATGCTCCCACTTTACAAATCTGTCCTCCAGTTCAGATAATCTATCCTTAGTTTCTTTCAAGCTGTTATGCCAGCTTTCAATAGAGTTTTTAGTTTCCTGGTAATCTCTTTGAACCTGCTTCACATATTCTGTTTTCTCTATTTTCTCCATCAAGCAATTCTCCCCTTTTTTTTCTGTTCTTCCATTCCACCGTCTGTTTTTTCTTGCTTAACATTTCTCTAACTATTCTACTTATATCTTGCTTTATTTCATTGAATACTTCACTTTTGAACTCCTCAATGAGGTGCCAGAGATAGCGCTTTATGTCTATTGGTGCCGTGTCTGATAGTGCATGTTTTCTGTCGTCATTCTCCTTTGCATTTACCTTTCCTGGATCAATGTTCTCAGAATTGGGAACTGAGGACCCTTTCTTGTTGCTCCCTCTTCCCATACTTTTTATTCCTTCCATACAAGTGTATATAGGAGGCCCAGGTTTTTTTTTGTTTTGTTTTTGTTTTTTTCTTTGTTAGGTACAGTTTGTTTGAATCCGCTGGCTAGGTGTTCCCACTGGCTAGGTGTTCCTGCCCACTGCAGTGTACTAGGGAGACACAGACCTGGGCAACCTCTGGTGGGCCCGCCCCTCCAGGTGAATTTACTGAAGACTTCACTGCTAAGGTGCACCACCAGGCGCTGGGACCTGGTTTGGGCTAGCCTACTGGATCTTAGTCCCAGGCTCGGCTACATAGCAAGACTCTGTCTCAAAAAAAAAAAAAAATCAGAAGTCATTTATTTCACACAAGTGTGTTAAATGCATTTGCTACAAAATGCAGTGCATTGAATTAGGAAGATTCATATTAGATATGATCATGTCCATCCATTTGTTATCAAGTGTGTACCTTAGTCATGTGTGTACTCTGGTTAGTCGTTCAGTGAAGTCTCCAGTTCATCCATTTACATGGGCATTTACCTCTCATCTGAAGCCTTTTATCTGGGTATTTACAAATATGTATAATTTATATTATCATTTAAGTATTAACATGAATAATAACATTTTTGTATACCTGTACTATGAAGTTTTAATGTTAGTAATGTTTGTTTATTTCTCTTGCGTACTGGGAATCGAACTTCCAAGCTTGGCATCTGCTAGGCAGGCACTTATGCCACTGACGTACATTCCTGGCTTCTAATAATGTTTATATATGTATACCTGTATTGTGTTTTGGAGACAGCATCTCCCTATGTAGCGCAGGCTAATGTCAGACTCCTGGGGATTTTCCTGCATCCGCCTCTCAAATGCTGGGATTTCAGCTGTGTGACATAATGCCTGGATAAATTTACATACTTTATTTGGAAAGTCTATACCAAGACAGTGAAACTAAATTTTTGAGACAATAGATGTCAGCTTAGAAATCATCAAGTTTACTATAAAGAAAGGTGTGGAAATGAGTTGCATAGTGGAAGATTTCAGAATATGAGTGAATGGGCAGTGCCATCCAGGCCATTTTATTTTTTTTGGTGTCGGGAATTGAACTGGGGCCTCATGCTTCCCAGACTGGTGCGGTATCACTGAGGAATATCCTGGGCTCTGTGATGCCATTTCAGTAGTGATTGATTTTGGTGTACACACTTTCTAAGAATGTCACTGTCTCTTAAACAATGCTTGTTGTCTAGAGCTACTTAGGTGCCTGTGCTATATCCTGGAGAATTTATCTCCAACTTTCACACTAACTGGATGAACCTTTGCATCCTTTCCTGTAGAGCCGATCCTGCAGCTTGTACTTACTGTCTCTTGCTGTACTTTTCCTGGATTTTTCTGGAAGGTTGATGCCTCCTTAGGGAACAGTTTCAGCTGCACTGTCAACCCTCAGTCTGGCAAAGAGCAGGAGGAACTTTGTAATTGTGTGTTCTGCCTGGGCTGTGGCCTAGGCAGCTCACATTTCACTCTTGGGCCACCTCTGCAGGAAGAGAGCTGGGGACACCTCAGGAATTGGGAATTTCTATTTTTTGTTTTAGTAACAGTTCAGATCATTGTTTCTGACCTTTCTTTTTCTGAACCCCCAGTGAGAGAATTGCTTAGAGGATGGCTTTCCTTTACATTAACACTAGCTGGACAGACTGGGCCCAAGTGCCCAGCAGGGCCTGCTTGCTCAATCAGGGCTGTCATTGTCCAGAAACCCTCTCAGTAGTGTACTTGATTAGCCTTGTTAACTTTCTTGACAGCTCGTTTCTGTGATTATACTTGCATGTTGACTGAAAAGCAATGCCTCAGTAGAAATGATTGATTCTGTGCCTTATTTTTTTTTTACTAGTTGATCCCAGGTGTGAATTCCAAGAAGCATAATGTGCTTTGACTGGGGTCCTGGGGAGATTACTGGTCTGTGAAACCTCCTTGAATAAAAAAGGTTTGTTTTTTTTTTTCTTTGAGATTATTCATCTTGCTGGGTTTGGTTGTCTCTCAGTCTCCCTTTGTCTTGCTTTTGTGCTTCTGTGTTTGTTTCTTCCTCTTTTTTTGAGACAGGGTGTGGCCTTGAACTCACAGTGTAGTCCAGGCTGGCTAACTCACAGCCAGGGTCTCACCAGGTCAGTAAGTTGCCCAGGCTAGGGCCCAATTTGGGATCTTTTTCTCTTAGACTCCCAGTGTGCTGTGATTTTACTTGTATGCCAATACACCCACCTTCAAAAAGAATATTTTTCTGGGTGTGGTGGCGTACTCCTGTAATTCCAGCATTTGAGAAGCTGAGGCAGGAGGATCTTTACAAATTCAAGACCAACCTAGGTTACAAAGTGAGCCTTAGGCCAGCCTGAACTGCACAGCAAGTCCCTGTCTCAAAAAAAAAAAAGATTTAGTCATCTTTATTGAAAAGACATCTTTATTTGATTTGTTGAGTTTTATGTAGGCCAGTGTTAAGTGAACAAAGATTAAGGTCACAGTGTTTAAATTTTTTTTCACAGTATATTTCAGTTGTTGGAGGCCAAAGGTAGTTGTACAGTGTGCTAGTAGGCTGAGGAGAATAGACGTTCATGTTTAAAAATTCAGCTCGTCCCTGCACTTTGGAGGCCGAAGGCTGAGGCAGGAGGATTGCTAGAAATTTGAGGCCAGCCTGGGGTACAAAGTGAGTTCAAGGGCAGGCTGAACCACATTGTGAAATCCTGCCTTTAATAAAGATTTAAAACAAAATTCGGCTGGGCCTGGTGGCACATGCTTGTAGTCCTGGCACGCTGGGTGGTTGAAGCAAGAGCAGTTCACAACATTTAGCAATACCTTCCCTTAAAGTATCATTAAAAAGAAGGGCCTGGAACATTGCTCAGTGCAGAGGCCCTGGGTTCAGTCTCAAGTACCACGCAGAAATTGCGCTGGAGTGATGGCACACACTGTACCTG